AGGAGGAGAAGGAGGATGAGGAGGAGGATGCAGGACGGGGAACAAAAGCATCGTTGATCGAGGCGTCCAAGCGTTTTGGGCTTCTTTCTGCTGTTTTGTCGTCTTCCCTTGCGTGGCCGATGTGCCCGCATGCTTGATTGCCTCTTTTCCTTCCCCCTTGTGTGACTGTCTGCCGGCCCGTCCAGCTGTCCTACCCTATCCTGTCCCGTTTGTCAGGCAGCGTCTGCCTTTCCTTTTTCGTTGGGGGGCCAGATGTGAACCCTACCCCTACCTCCCACGATTTCTCTAAGGGGGAGGGTGGGGTTCACTCAGAAATCGTGGGGGGTAGGGGTAGGGTTCGCATCTGGCCCCCTACTCGTCCCTCAGTGCCTTCGTAGCCCTTCTGAGCTCAGCCGGCCAGGGATGGCTCTCTGTCGGGGGAGCGTAAGACCCGGGTTTGCCGGGACTCGGGTTCGCCATCGTTTTTTGACGACCGCGACTCGGATTTTGACGAGGAGGAGTTTCGTGGGATGTCTGCAGCGGGAGGCCTCGTCAAAATGCAGGCTCGGCCTCGTCATTTTTTTGACGACCTCGTCGGGGATTTCCGGGTCCCCTGTACCCAGGTCTTACGTTCCCCTGACTCTGGCGTGCGCGCAGCCCGCAGGAGCGCGTCCCTGCGCACGCTCCTGAAGCCTCGACGGGCGAGAGCGCGCGCAGGATCCAACGACCCGCCTGCAGAATACCCACTTGGCTGTGCCCCTCGAGGCCCTCTCGAGGCCCTCTCGAGGCCCTCCTCGAGGCCCGCTCGGGGCTTCTCTTTTCAGGCCCTGTCGAGGCGCCTCGGGGGCCTCGCGGGCCGTGCGGGCCGCCGCAAGCGACGCGGGAGGGCTCTCACGGAGCCGTTTTCGGGCGGTTCGTGACAGACCCGAGCCACCCCGAAGATTCAGGAGGGAAAGAAACACACAGACACAATGAATCGTCGATCACCAAGAAAATATAGGAAAATACGGGAATTGGGGGAAGACAAAAACCCAGAACATATGCGAAAATGTGGGGAATCCTTTTATTTGTGTATTTATTTGTGTGTACTTGGGCCCCTTGAAAGACGGCCTCCAGGGTTTCTGGCTGTGCCACCGAGCTTGCGGACGCCTCTGGAGACGCTCCAGACCGCCCCGGGGAGCTCCAGGAGATTCTCCAGAAGCTATGTTGAGCCTTCTTGAGGCCCTCTCGGACCCCGTGGAAGCTGAAGAGGCCGAACTCCGTTGTTGTCTAGTTTGATTTTGTGATGCGGAAAGGTGAACCGAGATGAGCCGGCACCTCGCATCGAGACTTGATCTTTGCACCATACACCCGTCCTTTCGGATTGCCGCATCGTTCTTTGCAGTTCGGACGTAGATATACAGATCCACCGCCTGGACAACCGATCTTCTTGGACCTCGGGAGGCGGTGGAGATGGCTGCGTATTTATATATGTATCGGAGGTTGGGGGGTGAGATCGCAGTGAAACGGAGACCCCCCACGGGGAAATCGGTTTCGGTTTCGTGTTCGTGTCGTGCGTGCGGGCGAGGCGAAGCTGCGCGTGATCCTCCTGTAGCTAGGCCGAAGTAGGAGCGAAAGTCCGTTTCCGTCCGCTGGTGGGCGGGAGGTGTCCCAGTTGGGCCGGGCGGTGTTCTGGGTGTCCCAGGTGTCAGTAGGAGCGAAAGTCTTTTTCCCGTCCGCCGGTGGCCAGGAGGTGTCCCAGTTGGGCCGGGCGGTGTCCCGGGTGTCCCAAGTGTCCCGTTGAGTGAGATCGATATTGAGATCGATAATGAGATCGGTGTGGTGCCCCGAGGTGTCCCCACGGTGTCCCGTGGTGTCCCGCTGAGTGAGATCGATAGTGAGATCGATAGTGAGATCGACAGGTGTCCCGAGGTGTCCCGTGGTGTCCCGCTGAGTGAGATCGATAGTGAGATCGATCGTGAGATCGATAGTGAGATTGATGTGGTGTCCCGTGGTGTCCCGTGGTGTCCTATGGTGTCCCGCTGAGTGAGATCGATAGTGAGATCGATAGTAAGACCGATAGTGAGATCGAGAGGTGTCCCGCGATGTCCCGTGGTGTCCTGTGGTGGCCCGTGGTGTCCCGTGGTGCCCCTTTGAGTGAGATCGATAGTAAGATCGATAGTGAGATCGACAAATGTCCCGAGGTGTCCCGTGGTGTCCCGTGGTGTCCCGTTGAGTGAGGTCGATAGTGAGATCGATTGAGTCAGATGTTGGTTCCCCCCTCCTCTGCCCCCCCCCACAACCTCCTTATCACCCGAAGGGTGGTCGTATAGGTATATGATATATGTGTACGTTCCCCGAACAGGGCTTGCTACTGAGGGGTTCTCACTCGTGTTCTGACGGAGTGTGCTTTGCCGGTCCGGCGGCTATGACGTCGCCGTCCCCGCCCCGTCGCCGCCTCGTCGCTTCCTGTCGTCAGGGCGTGTCTGGCGGTCTGGCGGCTACGTCGTCGCCGCCGCCGTCCCGTCGCCACGCCGTCGTCGTGTAGATTGCACAATACAGATTGGACCACGTAGATTTTCGCTTCTAGCAGAAATCAGAGATTGGGGGTGAGATCGCAGTGGAACAGAGACCGCCTAGCCGGGGAATCGTGTCTTTTCGCTCGTGTCGTGCGTGCGGGCGAGGCGAAGCTGCGTGGGCGCGCGAGAGGAATGAACCCGCCGTTGCTAGGGCGAAATCAAGACACATGTTTCTCCTGCGTCCGTCCGTCCGGCGGTGGCCCTAGCGGTCTCCCGCGGTGTCCCGTGGTGTCCCATAGTGTCCCGTGGTGTCCCTCGCTGCTAGGGCGAAGTCAAGACAAATGATTCTCCTCCGTCCGTCCGTCTGGCGGTGGCCCTAGCGGTGTCTCGCGGTGTCCCGTGGTGTCCCTCGTTGTCCCTCGTTGCTAGGGCGAAGCAAGACAAATTATTCTCCCCCGCCCGCCCGTCCGGCGGTGGCCCTAGCGGTGTCCCGTGATGTCCCGTGGTGTCCCGTGGTGCCCCGTTGAGTGAGATCGATAGTGAGATCGACCGTAGTGAGATCGATGTGGTGTCCCGCGGTGTCCCGTGGTGTCCCGTGGTGTCTTATGTTGTCCTGTTGAGTGAGATCCATAGTGAGATCGATGGTGAGACCGATAGTGAGATCGAGAGGTGTCCCGCAGTGTCCCGTGGTGTCCCATTTTGGCCCGTGGTGGCCCGTGGTGTTCGGTTGAGTGAGATCGATAGTGAGATCGATAGTGAGATCGACAAGTGTCCCGTGGTGTCCCGTGGTGTCTTGTGGTGTCCCGTGGTGTCCAGTTGAGTGAGATCGATAGTGAGATCGATTGAGTCAGATGTTGGTTCCCCCTCTTCTCCCCCCCCACAACCTCCTTATCACCCGAAGGGTGTCCGTATAGGTATAAACTATACCCCTCGGGTGTATCTACGCCGTTTGGCACGCTGCAACATACTTCTGGTTCTGCCTCATTGTTCGCTCCACATAAGAACTCATACCATTCAAGGGAGTCCCCTTTATCGCCCCCCCCCCCCCTCTCATCCCCGTCCAATACTACTGTGCGCGCGGTTGTTAATTGAATTGTCAATTTCTCAATTCTCCCTTTCAATCCAATCGGACAACGTCCACACGCGCTCGTCGTCTCGCGCGCATGTCGCCATCCATCCCAAACCCCAGATTTCCGACGCATTCGAAAGTCGAGGCTACCGACCACAGATAAGCAACAAGACTTGTGTTTCACCCTCCTGTTTTTTTTTGTTTTTGCAAATCTGCGCGCGCGCGCTCGTTCGAGTACTTCGGACAAGCATCGGTTGTCAGGTTTTTTGTTGTTAGAAAAAACTTCGGACAAGCATCGGTTGTCAGGTTCTTTGTTGTTAGAGAAATAACAAACAACTAACACCAAAAACAAACAACAACACAAACACAACACACCAAATCAACAACACACAAACAAGCAACAAACAACAATAAACAAGACACAGCAACAACAACAAACAAAAAACAATACATATTAAAAAAACAACATAACAAACAACAAACAACAACAATGAAACAACAAACACAGGGCCTCCCGCGTCAGCGTGTCGACTTCCTTCGGCCGCCCTGGCGCGCGCCCGCCCGCGGGGCGCCCTGCCTGCCGAGCAGCACCAGATTCGGGGTCCGTCGCACGCGGCGGCCGCACGTGCACGCCGAGTCCTTCTAAAACCAGGGGGTAACAGACACACACAGACACAAGGAATCGTCGACCCCGAGGAAAATGCCTGGCATCGCTCGGACGTGGGCATTTTTCCTCGGCGAGGGCCATCGAGGAGCATCCTTGTTCATCCGGCGAAAAAGCCACGCACGAAACCGAAAAAAGCACAGGGAATGGACGTCCGAGCGATGGCCACAATATGGGGAAATATAGGAAGTGGGGGGGAAGACAAGAACCCAGAAAACATATGGGAAACTATGGGGAATCCCGTTATCTGTGTGTACTTCTTTGTGTGTCCCAGGGCCCCTTCATAAAACATTCACTGGATGCATGTGGACCTCCTCCCCGTCCCCGGCGTGGCCGACATCGGCGCCGCCAGATGGCCTGCCGTCGTCATCGCCAGCACCGTCACCATCACCGCTACCATCATCACCGCTCCTGCCGTTGCCGACGCCGCCACGACACCGCATCCGCCCGGGTCACCGACCCGATCTGCAGTGTGCCCGCGCGCCGCCGCGACGTTCCTGCAGTCGCGCCGCGTCTCACGGTGGTTGGCTCCCTCCGCGCATTCCGCCGGCCGGTATGGCAGACTTGCTTCCGCTTCTTGTGTGCTCGTGGCGGCTGGGAAGTTGCATGGCGGCGGTCGTTGGTTGGGTCACTCGGCAGGCGCGGAGAAGGAGAGAAATGAGAAGGGGGAGAGGATGAGGAGGGGAGGGGGATGATGATGAGGAGCAAGAAAGGTAAAAAGAGGAATAGGAGGAGGAGGAGGAGGAGGAGGAGGAGGAGGAGGGGAAGGAGGTGGAGGCTGTTTTGGACTGTTTTGTTTACCCAGAGGCCCATTCGGGAAACGCTCCCAAGGCAAGGCGCAACCACCCCGCACTCGGAGCTGACGCCCCGAATGCGACATGGCCCCGCCCCGCCCTATAGGTGCGCCACCCTCCCGGGGACTGGGATGAATACTACTCTCCTCGCGGACCGTCCCACATCAGCCACATCACGCTAGGCTGAAAAAATCGGGAGGCGACTGACGGCCTCGCTCAATCGCAACTCTCGCGCACGAAGGATCGCCTTCGGCGCCCCCTCACGGCGGGGGAAAAGACCTCGCCGAATGCGGGAGAGATTTTCCACGCCCTTCCTGGTCGGCCGTCCCGGGCACACGCGGACCATGTGCCTGGGGTCGCTGCCTGTGGTGTAACGTCCACACTGGTGGCAAAAAATCACTGCGAATTCAGGCCAGAACGCGAGCCGGTGAGATCCGTCAAGCTGCTCAGCTACCCCGCCCTCGGCGGCAAGACACGGCGCAATACGACCTCCATCCAGAGCCTGCGCCAGACTCCCTGTTGGAATCGGCCCTCGGCACTCCGTGCCACAGAAATGCAACAGCTGGTGCGAGCGTACCATGCGGTGGCAGCGCACGCACGTCCAACGCTCACCACAACGTCGCAACTCATGATCGGACCGCTGGACACCGAGGCGGGCTGGAGTGCGGGCTGGACGCCGAGGGCCCGCCGGCCGCTTGCCCTGCTCCCCGTCCGCTGCGCTCGCCAACTCCAGCGCCTTCCTCGCCCGGCGGCGCACCAGCGACGCGATCGCGTCGATCTCATCGGTGCGCGGCGCGGTGCCGATGAGCCCCGCACGCCGGCCACCCTCCGCGGCGGCGCCTGCCAGCACGTCCGCCGAGGCATTGCCCAGCGCCAGGAAGAAGTCGCGCTCGGAAGTGAGCAGGTGGACGTGCTCCTCCGTGTGCGACGCCACCCACTCCACCTGCACCTCACCAGGACCTCGCGCCGCGAAGGCGGCCCGCGCCCTCTGCCACAGGTCCTCATTCGCGAGCCCCGCCTGACCAGCGCCCTCCAGCCTCCCGTGCCACGCGCGGAACAACGGCTGGTGGTCCGTGACGAACCGCACGTTGCCCGTGGTCTCCTCGAGCGCCAGCACGAAGGCGAAGATCTCCGCTCGGGGCACCGTCTGGCGACGACCTGCCAGCGGAAGCGCTCGGCCCCAAGCTGGAACCCAGACGCCCTCGGGGCCCCGCTGCATGATCACGATGGCCGTCCCGCATCGGCGTCGGCGCGGATCTGAGGAGAAAATGCCGCCCGAGCCGTCGCCGAAGACAGTGAGGAAGCCAAGGACGTCTCGCAGCTCGTCGAGGTCGCCGCCGAAACTGGCCGCAGCCCCCTGCGCCAACTCCTCGTCGTAGCGCGGCGTGGTGAGCACTGCCGGCGCGACGCCCCGCAGCCACAGGGCGGGCTGCGCCTCGATCTCCGCGAGCGCCCGCGGGAGGAGCCAGTCCGACTTCTCGAAGGACTCATCACCCACGTTGGCCGAGCACAGCCAGACCCTGTGTACCAGGGTCTCGCGGCACCGCCCGCATCGCTTGCAGATCTCGTCAGGCAGCACATAGCCCGCCTCCGTCCTGCGGGCCCTGGGCCACTGCCCGCCAGCGACCACCGAGAGGTTGAGCCCCCACTCCGACAGCAAGCCCTGGGCCTCCATGCGCCGCATCTCGCACGCGATCTGCCAGAAGTCCGCGCCCTCCAGCAAATCCTCCCCCGCCTCGTGCACCGAGGCCTGCCTCCACAGCTGTGCCCGAAGATCTGCCTCCACGTCGTCCAGCACGGCTTGGAACTCCGCGCAAGCCTGAAACTCGGGGTCGTCAGCACTGGGCAAGAACCACTCGTCCTGGCCCTCGGGCGTGGGCCGGATCCACCGTGTGGCAGAGATGGGCGACCAGCCGAGGTCCATCAAGGTGGCTTGCAGCGCGCCGAGCGGCCCCCGGACCCTCTGCCATCGGCGAGCCCCAGCCCGCAGAAGGGCGCTCCGCACGTGCGGCCACGCCCTCCGAATGCGCCCGTGGAGCTGGGGCGCTGAGAACCAGAGGCCACACCACGACTCCACGACCTGCTTGCGCAGCACCACGTGCGGGTCCATGAGCCCCATCGTCGCCGCCAGGACCGAGGTCAAACATCTCCCTTTGGCGGAACCGCCCACCGCCTGGGCGGCCTGCCGCCGCAACGCCAGGACGCGGCTCGGGGCCAGCCCGAAAACCTGGTGCCCATAGGCGGCCTGAGGGAGGGCTCCTGTCGACCAGAGGCCGCGGCACTCCTTGGTCAGCGCCGTCGCCCGGCGCAGGCGCATGATACGCTGGAAGCGCCGCGCTCCGCCTCGCAGCCTCGTCGACGCCTTCCGGCACACTCGCCGCCTGCCCGCCGCCGCGTCGATGCCGAGGTCGACCGCCGATTGCACCACCTGGAACGGCACGCCCAGCTGCTCCAAGGTCTTCGACACCTCGCCGGCCAGCTCCGCGTCCGTCGCCACCAGCTTCGTCTTGCCCGAACAGATCAGCTCCTGCTCATCCAGGCCCTGCTTCAGGACCCCCGCGATCCGCGGCAGCTCGTCCCGCACTGCTGCACGGGAGCCCTCCACGCGAGCCACGGTGTCATCGATGAAGCTCCACAGCCCCGCTCGCGGGCACTGCACGTGCGCCCTCAGCAGGAGCGGGTGGAGATACAGCTTCCCCAGCGACACGCCGTGACTGGAACCCGCTACCACCGAACGAGTCGCCTCGACCGCCATGGAGACCCCATGATGACGGTCCCGCAAGAAGCGAGGCGCAAGGAACAGCTGCACCTCCAGGCCGACCACCACCGCAGGGTACTCGAACCTCTCCGCGATGGCCATCAGCTTGACCAGCGACACCAGGTCGTAGAACGTCTCCACGTCCATGTACAGGGTGGAGGCCGCCACCCCCAGCTCCATGCCCGTCTCGTCCATGACCGCACGCAGCAGCGCCGCGCGCAGGGCGCTGGAGCCCCGGATGGCCGAGTCCCAGAAGGCGCCCAAGTCTTCCGTCCAGGATGACGTGACGGACGACCTCGCCCGCGACCACACTTTCGGCGGCAGCGGCAGCATGCCGATGATGCGCTCCCCGCCCGCACTCTTAGGCAGCGTAGCGCCGATGACGCCCAGGAGCTGCCTGGGCCAGCAGCCGCGCCGCTCGCACTCCACCAGCAGCTGACGCAGCTCCTCGCGTCCCTCAGGGGGCAGCCGCGCCAGGTCGTTCGACCCGAGGCCATCGACCCCTCGGGCCTTCTTGGGCCCCTGCGCACGCACTCCGCCATCCAAGCACTCGAGGTCCAGCTCGGGAAGTGGATCCTCCCGGGCGCGGCGGAGAGTGGCCTGAAGGGCTGCCATCAGATCGTCCCAGGAGTCGACTGGAGCGCGCCAGAGGCCGCCCCAGCGCTGCGCCTTCCTCGACATGACCTGACCAGGCTCTGCGATGGTGCGGCCGCCCACCACCAGCTCCGACGTCTCAGGGCCAGGGTCGCGAACGTGCCGATGGAGGACACCTGGGCTCTGCTTCCACACCGTTCGAGCCCAAGCCCCGAAATCGCGGCGGCTCTTCGCCAGCGAGCGGGCCTGGCTGGCGGAGAAGAAGCGCTCGGTGACTCCCACCATCACCTCCAGCTCGCTCAAGGGAATCACGTCCGCACCCCTCATCATCAGGGCCCAGGCCTCGTGCACCTCCGCGTTGACCCCGCGGTTGAAATGCTCGGCGCAATCCAACATGATGCGATCCACCTCACGCAATAGCAAGGTGAAACAGCGCTGCCGCTGCTCCTCCGCCTTGCCGCTGCCGCGCAGCAGCGCCAACTGCCGCAGGAGCGCAAGGGTGACGCTCCAGTGCTCCGACGCCTGGTGCTTGAGGTGGGCGCGCCCAGGCGCAGCCCGCAGCCTGGCGCTCCTGAAGTCGTAGCCGTTGGCCCGCCCACAGTACGGCCGCCTCGCCGCCGCATCGTGGCACCCGTTGGCGCCCAGCAGAACCACTTCCAGCTTGGAGACCCATTCCGCGTACATGCGGCTGACCGCAACGTCACCCTGACCCGCCTGCTGCACAAGGCGGTGCGACTCGAGCTCACCCATCGCCGTGGAGCTGTACCTGCCAACTTCAAACTCCGAAGGGGCTGCTGCAGCCCAGGCCTCGGCTGAGACGAAGAACACCGGCTCGACCTCCGCACTCTTGGCATCGTGTCGCGAAGCCAGCTCGATGACCACCGCCCCGTCGTCCTGCTGCCCCTCAGGCCGAGGAGCGTCGAGGGTCATCGTGGGGCCCCCGCCAGATGGCCCTCCCGCTGCCGACGACGATACCGCCGACCCTCCCGCCGAGCGAGAGGAAGAGTGGTCAGCTCCCTCACCACGTCCAGCAGCGGCCTCGTCGCGACCCCGTTCACCATGCAAGTCCACCTGCCGCGCCTCCGGCCGGGTTAACGTCACCGCACCAGCGCCGGACATCTCCCCCTCCCCGAAGAACTGCTCTCCAGGGCCCTCGTCGTCGTAGTCCACCAGCGTCTCCAAGGCCGGCGCTGCCGCGGCGGCCGCCTCCTCTTCGAGGCGGTTCAGCTGCTCCACCTCCGCAGCCAGCTGCAGGTCCACGAACGCCTCCTGCAGGCCACCAGACAGCCTGTCACGCCTCCGCGCCAGGCTCGCGGCCTTGCGCTTCGACGACTTGCTGTCGGGGTCCGCCGCACGCGTTGGCCTCGGCGGCGAAGGGAGGGGCAGCGGAATCGCCAGCTGCCGTCGGCGCCACTGCCGCGCTCCTCGCTTGATCTGCAGGCTGAGCCCGCAGTGGACCCGCCACGGCACGTCCAGGACCGCGGTCAGCTCAACCTGGGTCGAAAGCCCCTCGGAGACCAAGCCGAAGTCGATGAGGCTGCCGCTGCCCTTGAAGCAGGTGGCCTCCGTGCCCTGCGGGAGCAGGAGCTCTCCCCCGACCTTGCCGGGAAAGGACGTCTCCGCCATCTCCTTGGGCGAAAGATTCCAGTCGGCGAGCACCGCCCACGGGTCCGCCAGCCCCATCAAGAAGGCCCCCAGTGCCGCAAACCTGCAGCGGTTCGCCCCACGCACGCCGAGCCCAGGGAACATGTAGGACATCACCACCACCAAGTTCCCCTGCTTCATGTGGAGGACCAGCGGCGCGAAGCCCAGCAGCGGGTCGTCGCCACCACCACTCGTCGCGCCTCGGAGGTGCGAGAAGGTCGTGGCTGCGATGTCGACCCGCGACGCCACCAGCTCGCCACCCCTGGTCCCCGTCTCTGACCGGACCGAGGCCCAAGCAGGGGCGCCTGAGGCCTTCCAGCCGTCCTTCGCGAGACTCCGAACAGCCTCCACGTGCTTCGCGTCCGAGAGGTGCGTCTCCGCGCAGCCCACCACCGCATACTCCGTCGCATGCTCAACCATGTAGCGTTGCGCCTGCGGGCCCCAGCGCTCGACGTTGCCGAAAAACACTTTGGGCCCCAAGGCAGACTGCCTGCTCGGCCCGCGCGGCCCCTCACAACGTCCAGGAGACGGCACCGCCGCCGCCTCCCCTCCTGCTGACGCATCTGCTGGGCAAGAGTCCACGGCGAACTCCTGCTCCTGTGCTGGCACGGAGCCCATGGCCCCGCAGGGGTGATTACCCGCGCCGCCTCCCAGCGCCAGCATCGCCGCCAGCAGCAGCAGCAGGCGCCGCTGGAGTGCTCGCAGCCCCCTTCGTGACGCCGTTCTGCCCCTGCTTCTCGGCATAGGCAAGCGCAGCCTTGTCCTTCGCCACGGCGAGTTCACGCTTGTGCTGGGCCAGCCGGTCGGCAGATGGCCCGGCAGCCCCTCCGCCTGGCGCAGCGGTCCCGGGGCCAGGCCTTGGCTCCTCCTTGCCCTTTTCGGCGCCCGCAGCGGCAGCAGGAGCTCGTTCCTCGGCAGGGGCGCCATCGACGGCCGCTCCTTCCCCCGCGCGCCGCTTCTTGAAGGAGCGGGTCCGCGCCAGCCGGAGGAGGGCCGCCCCCTTCTCCTTGAGAGCCGCCACCTTGGCCCCATGGATGTCGCACACCGTCGCCTGCGAGGCCGCGAAAGCCTGCTCCTGCGCCAGCCTGGCTTGCTCGCGCGCCAGCCTGTCCGCCTCGATCTGCTTGTAGGCCTCGTCCTGCTGCTTGTGCCACTGGTCCGTAGCTGCCTGAAGCTCCGTGAACCCAGTACGGAACTCCTCGTCGGCCTCCTCCAGGTACTCGAACAGCTCGGAGTCGATCGCGAACACCATGGGCTGGGGCGGCGCAGGCGCAGCGGCCTCCGCAGGCGCCTTGGTGGTCTGCGCGACGGTCTCGGCTGCCAGCTCAACCTCCATGTTGGCCGACAGATGCGCCGCGCTGAGCTCCTCGAGCTTCTCCTCCATGCGGCTGAGCTTGGCCTGCATCGCCACCACCTTCTCGATCTGTTTTTCGACGGCCTTCTTGGCCTTGGTCTGCTCCTCCGTGGCCTGCTTGTAGCGGTCAGCCGGCGCCAGCACCACAGCGGGCTTCGGAGGCGGCTCGGGCGGCTTGGCCAACTCCGCCTGCATGGCCAGGATGATCTGCGAGTTCGCGGGGAAGCGCTCGCACAGCTTCGTAAGCAACTCGTCCGGAGCCGCCATGGCGTCGGGGCGCTGGACGTCGCGGCCGTCACTGCGCCCTGGACACTCCTCCAGCTGCGTCTGTAGTTGCGTCCCGCACTTCCCGCAGCAGCCGCCTTGCTTGCGAAGCCGCCAGTCGTAGACCCAATTCTGACACTTGCTGCACACCGTGTACTTCTGCCCACGGGAACGACCCAAGCTCCCCATCGTACACTGAAGCAAGATCCTGCACTCCTCCCACTGCTCCGACAGGAGCTCACAAAACGCGGTCGAGTACGCTGGTACTCGACTCCAGACCTGGGCGAACAGGCCGAGAGTGCAGAGAACTGGCCGCGGATTAGCGGTATCCCTTCTGCCTGGAGGCTGACAGCCTCCCAGACAAACATCTTGAGCCAAAATGGCTACGGAGGGAAGGAGGTGGAGGCGGAGGAGGAGGAGGAGGAGGAGGAGGACGCCTCTCAATTGCTTGTTGGGGCATTCCTGGGGCCAAACAGGATCGTGGACAAGAGGCTTCTTTGGGAGGCTTCGAGGGGTCTCTTGGGAGGCCTCTCGGGAGTCTCCAGGGCGCATTGTTGAGCCCCCTTGGGGCCTCTGGGGGGCCTTTGGGGGGCCTCTTGGAGCCTTCTGGGACCTCTTGGAAGCGTTTTTTGGACCTGTCGGGGCTTCTTGGGGATGTCTTGGGGCATCTTGGGGGCCTCTTGGCGGGGGTCTCTTCGGAGCACCTTGGGGCCTCTACGGGCCTCTTGGGAGCCCCATTGGCGGCTTCTTGGGCCTTCTAGGGGATTTCTAGGGGCCTCTTAGGGGCTTCTCGCACTTGGAAGCTTCCTGGTCTGTTTGGGGGCGTTCTTGGTGCCTCGCGGGTTGTCTTGGAGACAAAAGGCGAGTAGGTATGCTATTAACGTACGTGTTCCAAAAGGGTTTGTGAACAATTTCTTCTGGAGGCCCTCTCGAGGGCCCCCTTGAAGATCTTTTGGGCCGTTTTGAGGCGACACTGGGGTGCCTTGAAGTGCTCTTGGGCAGGCTTGCGACCCGTTTGGCCCATCTTCAAGCCATATTGGGTCGTAGTGTAGCGTTCTTGGTTTGAGGCCATTGGGCCAGCCACCTGCTTGGCACCTCCTTCGGACGACCCAAGGAATTTCCGAAATCGCCCAACTCTCCCTGTCATACCTCTGTGTCTCCTCTCGGTCTCTCTCCCCCTCTCACGCTGAGCGCAGGGTACACCAGAGGACCAGAGGCTGTCTCGCCAGATTTTGCTCTCAGAGATGTGGTCTGAGGGGTCACGGAAGCATTCGTGTTGATTGTTTGCGGCAGTCGGGCGGCACGCAGGTGTTGGGTAACAGACGGCCAGACGGCCATAGCACGCCGTATTCGCAAGCGATTTGCGTATGGATGCAAGGAGGATGCAGCAGAGCGTTCCCCACGACGCTGGCCAACATAAGCGTCAGTTCGCAGCTGTTGCGGCAGGACTTGGACAGGATGTTCGCGCTGATGGACGCGGAGCAGGGCGGGGTCGGCTTCATCACCAAGGACTTGTTTGCCGGGCGCTCAGCACAATTCCGGGAAGGTCGGCTCCTCCATCAGGGCTTCTGTCGTCTTGCGTAAAGACGAGACGGAGTCAAAACGCCATTATGGTGCTTTTGGGCTAGCCTCTTTGGTGGCAAATCATGGGACCCTGGTATACCCTCTTAAGTTCGTCTTTAGCGTCGGTTAGCGTCTGGAGTCGATGAGATAGCGCCGATGGATCGTCGGCTAGCGTCGATTAGTGTCGCCCGCGCGCCCCCCCCGGAAGTCGCGCAGAAGGCCTGCGGTGGGCCTCGCCTGCGAGGACCGAGGGAGCTGGCATCTCTCTCGCTCTCCCTCTCTCGGCGGAAGGCTGGCGGCGGCTGGCGGAAGTAGGACGAGGCCGCCTCCGACGGCGGAGGCCGGCGGCAGCAAAAGATGCGCCTCCAATCAAGCAGTGGCGAAGCGTCTTGGCTTGCTATAGACGCCTGTAGGGCGTCTTTCAGTGGGAATGTATGTCGTCGTTCAGATTGGTTGGCGGTCGCTTGGTGAGTCAGGCTGATATATGTATTATATGTGAGTGTGAATCTATAGTATACATGCACACGTACATACATGCATGCATGCATGCATACATACATACATACATACATACATGCAAACATGCATACCTGCATACATGCATACATGCATGCATGCATGCATGCATACATGCATACATGCGTACATACATACAAATGCATGCATACACGAATGCATACACGTATACACATACATGTATACATACATCTATACAGTCATGCATGCATACATGCATGCATACATATATACGTACATGCATACATGTATACACACACCTACATATACACATACATGCAAACAACCAAACAACCAAACACACAAACCACCAACCATCCAACCATCCATCCATCCATCCATCCATCCATACATACATACATACATATACACGTGTATCTATACATAGGTACATGTAATCATATATAGCAATCTGATGCTGTTTGAAGTGGTCGATGCAAAACTAACGTGCTTGAAGCTGGGATGCATCGCACTTGTGGCTATCGTAGATCACATCACCATTCTCAGCATTGGCACCACACCCCATTATCCGTAAGGGGTTCGCCCCCATGCCGCCGGCCCCGCTCTCTTAGAATGGGACTTGTCAGAGCTGTGTTGGGATGTCTGGACGCTGACGTGAAGCAATGTCGGGACTTCACGCGAGGGCCAATATTTGTTTACGATGGTTTATGGCTTCGGTGGCGCGAACATCATTTACAATGGCTGATGCGTTCGGGAATACGCATATTGCATAGTTTAAAAGGGTTTGTGGCCTCGGGGACGCAACTATTGCGTAGTTCACCAAGGTTTATGGCTTCGGGGGCGCAGATATCGAATAATGTCCAAGGTGTATGGCCTCGGGGACGCGAATATGGTGTACTTTGCAAGGGTGTGTAGCCTCGGGGACGCAAGCATGGTGTGATTTACTAAGGTTTATGGCCCTGGGGACGCGATTCTTGCATAAGTTTCTAAGGTGTATGGCTTCGGGGGGCGCGAATTTTCTGTAAATTACATAGGTCTGTGGCCTCGGGGCGCGAATATTGTATCATTAACTTGGGTGTATGGCTTCTGGGACGCGAGCAGCGCATAATTTACAAAGAGTTTTGGCTTCGGGGGCGCGAATAGTGAGTAATGTTCGCGGGTGTATGGCCTCGGGGACGCGAATCTGGTGTAATCTAATCGGGAGTATGGCCTCGGGGACGCGAATCTTACGTATGTTTACATATCCCACGCCCCCCTCAGGAATTCAGACAACGCGACCTGGGCGTGGTAAAAAAACAGCTGGCTTGGGGCTCCCCCCTCGCGCGTTCAGCAACAATAAACA